TGAGGATGCCTTCTGGTGAGGATGCCTCCTGGTAAGGATCCCATCTGGTGAGGATGCCTCCTGGTGAGGATGCCACCTGGTGAGGATCCCACTTGGTGAGGATCCCACCTGGTGAGGATGCCTCCTGGTGAGGATGCCTCCTGGTAAGGATCCCACCTGGTGAGGATGCCACCTGGTGAGGATGCCACCTGGTGAGGATGCGGATGCCTCCTGGTGAGGATAGCACCTGGTGAGGATGCCACCTGGTGAGGATGCCACCTGGTGAGGATCCCACCTGGTGAGGATCCCACCTGGTGAGGATGCCTCCTGGTGAGGATGCCACCTGGTGAGGATGCCACCTGGTAAGGATGCCTCCTGGTAAGGCTGCCACCTGGTGAGGATGCGGATGCCTCCTGGTGAGGATAGCACCTGGTGAGGATGCCACCTGGTGAGGATGCCTCCTGGTAAGGATGCCACCTGGTGAGGATGCCTCTCTGCTGGAACTGCTACCTCCGCAACCCGACCACGGATAAGAGAGAGAAGATGGATGGATGGATGGATAGAGAGAGAGAGAGAGAGAGAGAGAGAGAGAGAGAGAGAGAGAGAGAGAGAGAGAGAGAGAGAGAGAAGGATGGACAAATATCAAGTCGGTCGGTGACGCAGAAATCAAGGACTCAGAGACACCAAACACAGTCTGGTCTCACCATGCTGACAGAGGATCACTGAACACAGTGTTAACCTTATCTTATCATATCTCACCTGGCAGGTGTGCGGCTTCTCGCCCGTGTGCACGATGCTGTGTGTATTCAGCTGCGTCTGCCTGTTGAAGGTTTTCCCACAGACGCTGCAGCTGAAGGGTTTCTCTCTGCTGTGGATCAGCTGCTGAGACTTCAAGCTGCTCAGAGACAGTTTCTCCTCACTGTGGATCAGCTGCTGAGACTTCAGGCTGCTCAGAGACAGTTCCTCCTCACTGTGGATCAGCTGCTGAGCTCCTGCAGGAAACAGCACACATTCACTATATAGACTAAAGTATTGGGCCACTACACATTAAACTGCAGGAGCTTTTATGCCCGCATTATTCTGAAGTTGGTCCTCTTTGCAGCTCTAACAGCTTCCTCTCTTCTGGGAACGCTTTTCAAAGATGTCGGAGTGTCTGTGGGACGCCTATTCATCTAAGAATTGGCTTTTTTCTCAGATTTTTGACTTTTTTATAAAGATTCTGATTTTATTTCAGAATGTATTTTCTTGTAAGAATTGACTTTTTTTTCAAAAAATTACTTTTTTCCTTTTTTTCTAACATTGGCTTTTTTTCACAGACTTTTTACTTTTTCTTCAGAATTTAACTAATTCATTTTCTTTCAGAATTTCAAATTTTTTTTTTATGTTTCTAATAATTAAAAATGGTCTCTTACATTTTTAACAAATTTAGTTTATTTCCGGATTTCGATTTTTTTCAATGTTTTTTCAATTTGTACTTTTTTCTCATAATGTTTCCTTTTCTCTCAGATTTGAGCATCTGTGAGGTCAGACTGATGTTGGGCGAGAGGCTCTAGTTCATCCCAAAGGAGTTCAGGGAGACTTAGTCATGCTGGAACAGAAGGTTCTTCAGAGCGTTAAGATGAAGACGGACTCCTCATCTCATCCAGAGAGTGTGTACCAGCTGCTGCTGTAATGAATATAAACATCAGTTTTCTCACTCTCAGTGATGACCTCCAGCTCCACGACGCCTCGATCGTCTTTCAGCATCAGCGCTGGAACAAACGGACCCTGAGACTGGCCCTCAAACGCCTCCTGCTGCTTCTGCAAACACAGGGTCAGTGAAAGCACCATGAGCAGAGTCAGGGGTCAGTGAACGCACCATTAACAGACAGTCAGGGGTCAGTGAACGCACCATTAACAGAGAGTCAGGGGTCAGTGAACGCACCATTAACAGAGAGTCAGGGGTCAGTGAACGCACCATTAACAGAGAGTCAGGGGTCAGTGAACGCACCATTAACAGAGAGTCAGGGGTCAGTGAA